GGGGAAAGAAAATTACAGTGCCTTATTTCTTCATCAAAATAAATTTTGTTGTGACGCAACCCAAATCCTCTGACACCACTACCGCCCGGGTGATGAATAATGACCGGTACCTAAATGGAATGAGATAACTGAAGGACTTGGGTGCTCTAAAACTGTTTTTATTTCATGTTATCTAATAGAGCCATTCAAAGACTGTGGCATCATCTTCACAGTATAGTCTATTTTTTTCTACAGCTTTGATTCCCTTCATATATATGTGGGTAGAAGGTTGGTTCATCGTCTTTCCGGGGACGACGCTGACGATGATGATGATGATGATAGATTTGAGAAATGTGAGAAGGATGACAAAGATGACGGTGATGACGGAGAAGGTATATTTGGCTGGTACTTCAACCGAGATGAGGAGCTTGAAGATGAATCTGTCACTATTCAGGGAACAGGAGAGATGATAAGACTCGTTTTTATGTCAGATTACAGCATTACCAAGAGAGGATTCTATGCTAAATACAGTGTAATGAAAGGTAATTTCATGTGGCGTAAATAAAGATTAAGCCTTCTAGATAAATGGTTAGAGTCTGAGTAGCACTTCGAGAGGTATTTGAGGAACTTGCGTTGAATTTTGGGACACCATCACAGATCAAACAGTTTTTGAAGCAATCCTCAATGAACTGTAATTCATCAGCACCCACCGAGGGTTTGGATACGATATTGCTAGGTTCATTATGTTTCGAGATTTTTACTTAAGCGAAGATTTCACATTAAACAGGTAGAAAAAAATATTTTATTGTGTTTAGGAAAGTAAATATACACTGCATATTGTTAGGATTATGATCTTTTAGGTTTAAAGGAGATTTGATTGAAAGACCATATGCATTGTTTGATCCCTGGTCCTTAACTTCTGAGGATGGATACGCTGTTGGAATGAGACTTGAACATGTCCACATGTTTCGAAATATTGACACATGCCATCGACTGAAACACTAGCACTAACATCATATCTTTGTGAATTACAAAATGAATTTCAAATTAAACCAATGTTGAAAATTATAACCAGTTATCACTATCACCGTGGCCACTTATCGCTGATCATTTAGAAAAAATTCAACATTTTGTTTTTCCTTCGCATTAGCGATTTGTGGAGGCCCATTGGCGTTGCCATCCGGAACCTTCAGATCCCCTGGCTACCCCGGCAAGTATCCGGACGACGTTAAATGCATCTGGACAATTAGAGTTCCACCAGGATCTACACTGGAATTAGATTTTCGATTCTTCAAAACTGAAAAATGGTAAACATTAGTGCTCTAACCTTGTTAGAGTGCCTTCCCCCACTTGAATGTCGTGAGACCAAAAGACAAAAAGAGGAAAATATAAAAAAAAACTTAAGAGCGGTAAACGCGCATGAAAAAGACATGTTTGGCTTTAGAGATGCATTAGAGAGAGTAACGTTAATTTTCTGAATGAATCATTAGGCGAAGTTCATTATAATCGTTCTCTCTTGGATTGTTTGGGCTGTCAATTGGATTCTAGGACTGTTAGCGACAATCGGTTGAGTTTCGAGAATTTAAAAAATTTAGAACCAAGTTGCTACTTCATTCAGAGCCGAACAAAAGTTTTTTTGTTGTTTTTTTGTTTCCCAGCGATGATTACCTCAAAATTTTGCAAGGGGGCCGCAAAATACGAAAACTAAGTGGTGTTTACAGATACAGCTTGTTTGGATGGGGGAATAATGATGACGACGATTGTGACGATGATGACAAGGATGGCGAAGATGGCGAAGAAGGTGAAGATGATGAATATGTTGGTGAAGATCGTTCCAAAAGGTTCATCTTCCCAGTACAGAGGTTTCCCTCTCCAGTAAGGAATCGTCTTGGTTTTCCAACGAGAGGCCGCATTGGCGCCCCATATGTTACACGAGTCCTTATTCCAGGAACGGGAGAGCTGATATCGATTGTCTTCAAATCCGATGACGACGATGTCACTGAAAAGGGTTTTGAAGCAACGTATCGTGTTAGACCAGGTGTGTTAATGTACACTGAAAGTTTCCTATCTTTTTATGCTTGGAATTGACTCTGTTTGTAACCATGGCACTTTCTACATTGCTGATCAAGGACACTCGTCATTAAGTTCTCTATAGCACTATAGTAGAGTATGGGAGAGGAAAATTACAACGTCGATTCATATAAAGGGACTAAGATGTTATCTTTAACATTTCGTTCGAAATGCAAAGAAACACAACTATGTTTTCTTCTTTTAAGGTTTTACCATTGTTCGTACCCCTGCGATGCGTCGCCTTCTTCTGTATTTCTTTCCCTCAATGTCACTTCACCAACATAAGAATTTCGTCCAGTTTAGATGAATGTTTAAATTCAGTCTTTCGTATAATAGACTCTCTTTCCCCTTTTACTTCTTGATCCTTCAATATTTATCTGTATTGGTAAGAAAAACACGAGCTGAAATTCATTCAATTGAAGATATAAGACAAAAAAAATTAATGTCTTTCATCGAACATTTTATTATTTTCATCTCAAAATTCACTTACAAATCATAATTTTAAACGAATTACCGATTCGTCGAATATCAAAATTTTTATTTATCCTTTCAAAAACCAGCAACTGAAGAAAAAAATTCAATTGAAGCTTCAAGTTCTATATTCTTGCTTTTGAATTGTAATTTGCAGTTATTAAATGTCATCTGTTCTCTATCTATTGCAGGGTCAGCTTTTCACGGTTGACCAGAAGACACGAAGGAAACAGAATTTGAAAGATGTTTTATCTGATCACAATTCTGGAATTACATCTCATCCTCTAATATTTTAGTAAAATTTTCTTCGTATTTTTGTTCAAAGTACTAGATCTGGTGTTGTAACTTGCTGTGGAAAGCCCATATCAAGACTGAGATCTCTTCACGTACATATAATTACTGTGGATCTTCTTAACAGTGGATCGAGTTCTATGTGTTTCTTGCCAATTAACAATTGTACAACTATACAGTTTGTCACTTTTAGAACTTTGACAACGTCACCTGGCGTGAAAATGATGCAGTTTGGGGCGAAGCTGTATAAGAATATATATATCTTTAATGCAGGGGATTTCATTCTAGCAAAATTTTGGATTTCAACAATTAAACTTTACAAAAAAAAAGTCAGTTTTGTATTTTTACTCACAGATTATAGTGTATCAGTATCCTCATTCAATACTTAACAATATAGAAATATCACCATCAGCCGTTATTCACAATAGTGGTGATTAAGCACCTCAGACAGACAACACAGATTCAATTTTAAATCAAATCCCAACACGTATTGTATGTCTAAAAAGCCTAAAGGAGTTAGAAATTCTTATAAGAATATTTTATTTTCAGTCGGTATTTTGTTGACGCATAAAAGTATTTACTTAATCAATGATATTTTACTTAAGGGTAGCGTCAGTGAATGACTTACATCTAATTGGAGTTGTCTTAGCTAAACCGCAACAATTCACGTGACTCTTCTCCCGGTCAATATTATATAAAGAGATCATGCAATCACTGTTAGTACGAAGAATTTTATTTGCTGACGGAGCCGGAACATGCTGTTAATTTGAGGAAACAGAAAGTTTGGGAAGAGACGTAAAAACCAAATTGATATGAAGAAAATCCTGCTTGTCCTGGTAAGGTTCTCATCGCTTGGGACACGTTATTTTCTGTGTATCATTGAGCCTATCAGCTCGTACAATAATCATTCGTACCTGGGTAAAACAGTTTTGAACTTAGGCATAATTGCCTTTGAGATAGGAAATGGCGCCATTCAATATATTCAGTATAAAAAATCATACCCCCAACCAGGTCCCGCATTACACATAGATGAAACAAGGGTGTAAGGTACTAAAGAAACTGTGGGACTGGGTCTGAGAGTACTGTAAGTCAATTTGGTTTTGTCAGCTGAGTTGATGATGTAAAATGGCCACCGTAAAGAAAGCAGCTGACGTTTCGAGCTTTACTCCTTCGTCAGAGCAAATGAATTTCAAATGAAATCTCTCTGAAAAAGGACTAGAGTTCAAAACAAAAACTTTAGAATCTGCTTGCGGTGGCCAATTTGCATCATCACCTCAGCTGAAAAAAATTAATTAGCCATCACTGATACAGCGACGTTTGATTGAGTATTTTCATTACCGAGACTAGTGCTGCTGGATCTATCAGTTTGAGGGAAACTGGAATCATTTGCGCTCACTGAGTTGCTTGAAAATGAAATTTTATGGATAGCCCATCTAGAAAATGAAGGGGAAAAAAGCTATCCATATTACTTCTTTTAACTGGTTCAAAAACAGTCCCTCATTTAAAACACATTTATGTTTCACGATGCCTATATAAGTTGTTTATCCAATGGTATTGCACTTAACGATTAAACTCCCTTTTCCTTGTATTGAATGTCAATATATCTATTCCCTCCACCGACAAAACTTTTGTGACCACTTTGACTAAATGCGCTCATCTAAAGTTACATGAATAGAGTTAGTCAAAAATCATTTGATGATTCTATGGAAATTTCAAAACTCCGGCGGACGACACAAAGAAAAGTGAAGCATAGAAAGCCATTATTCTGCTCTATAGCAGAGATCAGTACAAGTCATTGTGATGAATTAACTGTGTGCCAATGTAGTTGTAAGACTGGATAGTTTTGTGTGCACATTTGTATCCACATGTCTAGCGGCCAAGTACATTAAAGCTGACAGAAGATATTTAATTTAAACGCGTATAGCTTGGTCGCAACATCAATATCACCATATGCATGCCCATCATGATCACGATGAAAATTCAATTTTATAGCAATTTTGTAGCATTGTAGTCGAAGCTACTCTCAGTTTGCACATCAATGAAACATTAACTCAAATCTTAAGCTTTGGACTCCTTAAAATTGTTTCTGAGTATGACTGTTTCCGATGTAAACGACACTGGTTATGTTGTTCATGTGATTTCAGTCTTCTTATATTTTCTTCTCACAGGAGTTGGAAATAAAAAACCAAAACTTTCCACATAAATGCTTAAGCTTCTACTTTGACTATGTAATGTAGGATTGGATGTAGATTCACTCGGTTCCGGTCGCGATTTTATGTAAATCGTTTTTGACTACACCGATTAAGAAACTGATGCATTATGGCACGACGTTAAGAAACGCAAAAGGGCAATAACTGTGAAAATTTTTTGGCTAAATAAAAAGCTCAAAACAAAACATGACGGCTCCATAGGGAGAAACGGTTACTAAGTAGCATGAGCGGTCACCAAACAGATTCTCTCTTAGAGATTTTATGTTGTGTTAAGTTTGATGCAAGAAATGAGATGTAAAGAGGTAGTTTGAACCGGGGAATTACTTTTGATCTTGTGGTCTGATCGCCTAGGTGAGAGTAGTCTTGTGAAGGACTGATGTCGGTAGTAGTGACTGACGCATTGAGTTCGACAACATTAGCGCAAGTTATCACCAGAGACGAGGGCTCTCGTGCGCCACTTAAATTCTTTGTTCTTCTATTTTTTTTTTCTTATTCCACTGAAGTGTTTATCATATTGCTAGTTTAATAACAACTTGAGATGATACGTTTTGGTAGATGCTGATGACATCATATTCAGCGGAAGGTGACTCGGTGCACGCTTCTATTCATAACTGGACAACTGATCTCGAGGACCTGGAGCTGAAAACCTTGCGACAAATTCAAGAACAAGGTAGAAAGTACGACAGATTCATGTATTCTTGGGCATCAAGTTTAAGTGTATTTCTGATCGTGTTGATCGATTAAGAGGCTAATTTGCTCCTTCCCAGCTCTTTTGAAACACAAATAATTCTGCATTGAACATACTTAACCATCCATTAAAAAAAACAGTGATGATTACATAAAAACGTATGTTTCTTTTGATCCTTAACTCAAAAGATCCAACAGAAAAAGAAGAAAATTTATCCCAGCCACAAGTAAAGCAAACATAGCATTCTCACCCTCAATTTGGCACAATATTTTTTTGGACCTGTTTGTTGTCGTTGTTGTACAAGGGAAGACAGGCAGTAAATGTTAGTCTGTTGTCGTGTCTTGTTCGAGTAAGCCTGCTCTTTCTCTCTTTAACTCAAATCCAACACCTGTTTCAGCTCCTATGCGTCTTAGATGTCACGTTTGTTTAGAACCCGTTTCATTGGAGAATTGCACAACTGCAGAAACACTGCGACTTTGCGAAAGAGGCTTTCGCTGCTACAACCTACAGGCATTTGACACTGCTCGGAACGCCCACATCTTTGCTAAAGGATGTCTTCAAAGTATTCTTTGCGCTCAAAATCGTGGATGTGATTTCCTTAACTTATCTCGTAATGGTTCCATTGGGTTCTGTTCGTTGGAATGCTGTCATACACAAGAGTGCAATGCTCAACCGAGGGTTTCATCTACAGCTCCACCACCACCGATGATCACAGAACGACCTACAACTGCAGGGTCAGTTCCTGTGACTCCATCAGGTAAATTCGTCAAGTGCAAGCAGCAGTTTCATCTGCTGTATATTGTAAATGAAGAATAATGGAAGCATCTCATGCATGCAAACAGCATCAAACAAGAGAGAAGATTAAGAGAAAGGTTTTGGTAAAATTTGAAACGACACCATCAATTGGGTCAGTATTCAAATCTTTCAGTTCTGCCCTTGATATTACCATGGTTAAATTATGAAAATAGTTGAATTTTAAAAAGCGCAGGCTTTAAATTCTTACGTTTTAACCTGTCAAATATCATTGTTTAACATGTTAAAAATTATTAGAATACTGCAAAACCACGTTATATTTTTACTTAATTGTCACGATATAATACTCTAAGAGTTCATAGACAGACAGAAAAATGAAAAATGACATGAGATTTCACGTTTTTCCTATTTCGACGATCGTTTGTTTCTCCTTTCGTCATCTCAGCTTCGGTTTTCGCTTGTTTACCATTCATTCGCTGTTTCTTCAAAAATTGATAGCCTGAATTCACACGTTTCAATGAACAGGCAAATGCGGTGGTTCGCTATCTGCTTCATCTGGGAACTTTGCATCTCCAAATTATCCCAGTAAGTACCCCGACAATGCTGACTGCATCTGGATCATTCCTGTACCAAAAGGATCAACGTTAAAGATACAATTCGTTTACTTTTTTATGGAGCGAAGGTTAGTCATAATTTATTTTCTGAAATAAATAGTGGAGGGGGACTCCGACAAGGAAAAATGGCGCAGCAGCGTTTTCGAATGACCATAATTGACCTTAGCTTCCGCGTTGGCACTTTTAATAATAAACGTATTTCTTGAGATTAATTAAGAGGAGATCTTGAGAAAACTGTTATTTCTAAACTGTTTTTTCTTTGTAACATTTACCTTTTTTAAAACGCTTTCACCGAAACGTGTCAAAAATACCGTTCCTAACTGTGATTTAACGCGAGTTATAAGCATTGCTTTTATTATTTTGCCAATCTTTTTTTAGATATGATTATGTAAAAATCTCTATGGGCCGACGACTGCTTCGCCGTTTGACTGGAAGTCCTCGAAAAAGGGATAAGGTGATTTCCATAAAAGGAACTAGCGAGGTGGTTCGTGTTGCTTTCAAATCTGACCGCAGCGTTTCGAAGAGAGGGTTCTTTGCCAAATACAATGTGATGAAAGGTGACTCACTCTAAAAATCCTATATCAAAATCAATCTGTTAAATGGGGCACCTTGACGTTATAAGAACCAATAATTATCTTAACCTCTGAGTTAACAACAACGCCCTAAATGTCCCCTTATTTTCTCCTACATCACAGTATCGTGTTTTGAAAAGTAAATTTTTTATCTCTAATCACCTATTGTGCGAGAAGCTTTGCAGAGGTTTTATTTATTCTTCTACATCCATCCAACCTTGTCCAGTAGATTAATACTGTTCATGATAATGATAGTTATGTGATTAGTAGGAACCGAACCTGGGAATAAGTTCAACCGTCCTCTGGTATTCCATTTCATCAAAGCAAGTCATATAAACCCTCTCGATTGATAATGGTAATAGGACTTATTGGAGTCGAATTTGGTCTGTAATCTTACGAGTGATTGGCAAAGTCGGACGACCGCGAAGCCGGAATCCGGTTTCTTAATCACGACTATGATTACAGACAGAATTGGACGACACGAAGTCTTGTTACCAATTAATCAAAACTATGACAAAAATTTGAGAAAGAAACTAGACGTAGGTTATACATTTTCACAAAAAACACAAAGTTAACTCAGTTAAATGCCTTCCGATGAGACAAACCGCACGCA